TCTTTTAGCTATCTGTCAAAAGACTTCTGTCTCTGGTCAATGAGCTTCAAACGTCAGTCCTGACACCCGCTCCAGGGTCAGGAGGGTGGAAAGTTGATTTACTTTAAGCTTACTTCTGCAGGTTTAAACAGTCCAAAGAAAAGCTCCCCCTTCTCCTCCTGCTACCGAAGGGGGGGTTCAGCTATTTTAGATGATGAAATCCAGTCCTTTAATGGTGATTTTCAAGGCTCTAGTTTACTTTGTCTTTGCTTTGTTCAGTCTACAAAGAAACGGAAGGCTGACTTCCTGTTTAGACCTTCCCGTTTCAGTACCAAATTAAAATAAATTTTGAAGACTGATTCTTTTCTGTTCCCAATTCCTTATTTAAAGTCCAATTGTTCAAAGTTTGAGTACTCACGGGTGATTATTTTTGAAAGCCAAATTGTTCCAAGAAGAAGGCAGCGCTCTCCGGCAACGGCTGTGTGGCTTCACTCCACGGAAAGAGCATTTAACTCACAGCACCGCGCCACTTCCCCCTCATCGCTTCAGAGCCCGTTAGTGGGTTCCTTTGCGGGTTGGGGTGGGGCGCTAAGGGTGCCCGCCGAGTCCCACGGCCACAGGCTTCATCCGCCTGTGATTTTTTTTGGGTCCCCGCTTCGCCGTAGCGGAAAGGACCCGTTTCACACGGAGCTTGTCCCTCCAGTTCAGAGGGAGTCCGCCATTGCCGATGGCGCCACCCCGGAAGTCCCAAAAGGTTTAGATTTTGGGGCAATCTCACCACATGTGAAGGTATGTGCCTGTAGAGGTGCAACTTCTTCAACATTTTGGTGATGTTCCTGGATGTATCAGTGCCCAATTCTGTGGTGTTAGGTAACGTCCATAGATAAGTTTCAAGGTGAGTTCCCTTCTTTCGGCTGACATGGATTTCAAGGGAGGTTTAGACCAGTTTAGTCCACTGGGCAGGGTTTATTTCGTAGCCTATGTCATGCTCCCATTGTTTTTTGATTGAGATGAGAGGGGTTATGGGATTCTGGAGCAGTATTTTGTATATTGTGGATACCATCCACTTGCCATGTCCCTTTGGTGCCAGGAGAAGGTTTTCAAAGGTGGTCACGGGCCTAGTGGCTGCTGTTCTTACTGCTGGGTTGTTTAAGAAGGCGTACAGTTGGTAGTGTGCTAGCCAGGGTATTTGGGTGTCCCCTAGTTTGTCTTATATTTCTTGTGTTGGTGTGGGTTTATTATTTTTGTAGAAGTCTGCTGGGGGTATAAGCCTTTGGCTTGCCAAGGTTTCATTTAGAAGTTTTGGGATAGTGAATAGTGGGCTGGGGGGGGGGGTTAGTGGGGCTGGGACAGTTTACCTACCTTTTCCTTCCATGCTTTAATCATGGACTGTGTGAACCTGTTTAGCACTGTGAGGATTTTCCTTAGTTTGTTTTAGAGGAATGGGTGCACTGTGATGGGGGTGTTTTCAATTGTGTGTCTCTCCAAGTGTACCAATTGTTCCGCCTTGTATTCTAACATGTATGGAATTATGTGCTGCAGTTGGCTGGCGATGTAGGGCAGTTCTATATTGAGAATTCCCCATTCTCCTTCTGAGGAGAGGAGGTGCAGGTATTTGGGGCTTATTCTTGGTTTTTTGTGAGAGAAAATAAATAAGTGTTGTTTTTTCTGCCATTTACAAAGTAGGGTTGGGGGAATCAAAATTGGGAAGGTTTGGAATAGGTAGGTTAATTTTGGAGGGCGATCATTTTGATCATGGCTATTTTGTCAGAGAAGGTGAAGTTGGTATTGTTCCATTTTTTTCAGGTTTTTGTTAATTTCTCACCCCGGGGAGTTGTAGTTGTGGAGGTATAGTTTGTTGAGGTTTTTGGTTATTTATACCCCTTAGTATCTGGATTTGGTGGGGCAAAGTTTTATCTTTGTGACGTTGGTGCATTCTTTTTGGATATGAGGAGCAAATGTTGGCACACATAACCTCAGATTTTACAAGGTTCGCCTGTGAGCCCAACACCATTGTGAATAGATTGAGTTCTTTGGTTAGGGTGATTGCTGTTTATGGGGTCTGGTGCCATTACCATCAGGTTGTCTGCCAATATCCCTAATTTACAGGTTTTGCTTTTTATTTCAGCTCCCTTGATGTCAGGGAGCTGCCCAGGGTCGAATTGCTATGGGTTTCAGAGTCAGGATAAATAGGAAGGGAGACAGTGGGCATCCTTGTTTTGTGCCTTTTTGGATTGCTGTGGTATATGAGTCCATGCTGCTGGTTCTGCTATTAGATATTTCCATTCCAAACAATCAAAGGCTTTGAGGATGTTCAGGGACATGATCATCAGTGGGGGTTTGGTTGTTTTACTGTGTTCAATCAGATTCAGTAGTTTCCTAATGGGATCTGTTATTTTGTGACCAGGGACAAACCCAGCCTGGTCTGGGGCTATTAATTTGTGTAGGAAATTTTTTAGGCAGTTAGCCAAGATTGATGTGAATATTTTGTAGTCTTGATTTATCAATGAGATTGGATGGTATGATTCTACTTTTGAAGGTATGTATCATGGGAATTGGGGTTGCTTGTGTGTAACCTCCGCCTGCTCCAAACTGCTTGATGCGGTTGCTTTTCCCCCCGGCTGAGCAGCCCCCCTTGGGCACGACTGCTTCAGTCGCTGGCAGAATCCGTCAGTGGGCGTTTCCTAAACTTCCTCCAGCATAAAAATTCCTTAACGGACAGCCTCCTTCTAGCCTCTCTGCGCGGCAGCCTTCTGCGCAGAGTGGGCGTGCCTATCGGTGGTCCTCCACTCTGCTCACTGACATCACTAGAAGAGTCTCAGAGCCTCCCCTCCGAAAGGCTCTCAATCCCTTCCTTCTTCCTTGCGTCACCTTGCCTTTCTTCCCCAGCGGAAGCCCTCTCTACCCCTGTACTGGTTCCCTCTCCGGCATGATTGGGGAGCCTAGCCTCTCCACTCTGTTCCGATGTCAGTTTCCTGACAGTATGTTTCAGTGGTTTGGGGATAGAGACTGTTTTGGAGGAGGTCCAGGTTTTATGGATGGGGGCCCCTTTTATGATGTCATTAAATAGGCTGATCATGTAAGGAATCAGGATTTCTTTGAATTTATTGTAGAATTCTGCTGTAAAGCCATCCAGGCCTGGAGCTTTGTGTGGTTTCAGGTTTTTGAGGACTATTTCCTACCGGTGGTTTACCCTTACCGGACTTCCTGCGCAGCGGGCAGGAGTCAGATATAGTCGGGTCCAATCAATGCCTAAGCCAATACCGCTCACATTCTGAAATTCAATAAAGTTGTGGCCAAATTTGCCCAATAACATAAACCTAATATCCGTGTCCTTGTGTGAGTTATTTCTCAACGAGGGGGTGGCTGCAGGGTCTCGACACACAATGAGGGTTTGCCAAGCGTGCCTTCCTCTTAGCATGGTTCTCCCTTGCATCCTGAGTTCAAGTGTCTTCAAAGCCCATGACACCTTTGGTAAAGGCTGTTCTCCAACTGGAGCACTCGCAGGCCCGTGTTTCCAGTTGTCAGTGTTTATACTACATTTTTAAAGATTTGCCTTGAGACAGTCTTTAAACTTCTTTTGTTGACCACCAGCATTATGATTTCCATTTTTAAGTTCAGAATAGAGTAGTTGCTTTGGAAGACGATCATCAGGCATCCGCACAACATGACCAGTCCAACAAAATTGATGTTGAAGAATCATTGCTTCAGCACTGGTGATCTTTGCTTCTTCCGGTACACTGATATCCGTTCGCCTGTCTTCCCAAGTGATGTGTAAAATTTTTGGGAGACACCGTTGATGGAATCTTTCGAGGAGTTGGAGATGGCGTTTATAAGTGGTCCATGTTTCACAAGCATACAGGAAGGTTGGTAGTACAATAGATTTGTAAACAAGCATTTTTGTTTCCCTGCGAATGTCCCGGTCCTCAAACACTCTGCACTTCAGTCGGGAGAAAGCCGCACTCGCAGAGCTCAGGCGATGCTGGATTTCGGCATCAGTTTCGGCCCTCGTGGAAAGATAACTGCCCAGATAGGAAAAGTGATCAACATTTTCCAACGTTACACCACTGAGTTGGATTTGTGGCGCTGCAGAGGGGTTATTTTGTACTTGTTGGTGCAACACTTTGGTTTTTTGGACGTTGAGTGATAGGCCAAGTTTTTGTAAGCTTCTGCAAAGGTATTTAGGATGGTTTGGAGGTCATCCTCTGAGTGTGCGCACACTACGTTGTCATCAGCACAATGAAGCTCTATGACGGAAGTTACTCTTTGCTTTCAGCCTGCTCAGATTGAAGAGCTTTCCATCTGTTCGATATATGATTTCTACCCTGGTGGGGAGTTTCCCCTTGACAAAGTGTAGGATCATGGCAATGAAAACAGTGAAGAGCGTTGGGGCAATAACACAACCCTCTTTAACTCCTGATCCCACTGTGAATGGTTCACTTTGAGAGCCATTGTTAGCTGTGATTGTTGCTGTCATATTCTCATGGAGGAGCTATAATGAAGCTATAAATGTAGCTTAATCCTAGTGGTGAGCTCAGTAAGACAAAGCCTGTAGAAACCTAGTTTTCAGCTCCAGCAAAACAGAGAGATCCTGAGAAGCCACGTTATAAACCAGGAACTTAGATTAAATCCCAATTTTGGAAAAGGGGTAAACACAAAAGAATAGTCAGCCTCTGCTAATGTAGTTCCAAAATGTACAGGCCTGGCTAGTGGGAGAGTCAGTTTGGAATCAAAAAGAAGCTTAGTGTTTAGATTTAAGTCACTGTAAAATCAGACTGGTGTAAGTTTCAGCTTTTAGTTCAGCTTAAAACCAGTTAAAAGCCAGTTTGGTCCGCCCCCTGCCCCCACCCAAACTAGAGTATAAGTTACAACTAAAAAAATAAAATACGGGTTGGCTTGCACTTTTAAAAGCATCAGTTCAAGCCCAATGAAAGCCTGGTTTAATGTTATCAAATGCAGCATATAAGTTAAAGTGAAAGAAAGTATGTGCTCCACCACTGAACTAAGGCCAGTTAAATTACCTTTCTACTGTCGTTCCATCTGCAGGTGAATACTTTTTACAGGGAAAAAATGCTCAAAGATTTCTTCTGGTTTTCAATACAGTGGTGGCATCATCAGACAGCAGTGGCAGCTTAGTCTCAGAGCTCCTCATTCTGCTACATAAAACGCAGCCATAGTACCATCTTAAACCTGAAAGAGAGAAATAAAAATCTAAATGTCTTAGTTAGGATACAGAGCAATCTTATTTTGAAGTTTAGAGAGGGGCAAGTCTTGAGCCCCGAGACCTCCAGGTATAGGGTGGCATATAAATTCAATTAATAATAATAATAATAATAATAATAATAATAATAATAATAATAATGGAATACAGGTGAACAACATGACTTCTTTTTGTGTGGCCAATGCTTCCAGAGGTTGCCTTGTTCATCCATCCCAACATAGTTCCTTCCTTCACATTTATCTGCTCCACCTTGTTCCAGATTTTCTTATATAGTTTCAGATCAAATGGAGGTGGCATATTTTTTTTAAAAAAAAATAAAAGCTCAATTATTTTACTTTCCCCCAATTATATGGTTTGAGTGAGAACTGTTTATAGAAGTCTGACAGCAAATCAGGAGGCTCCTGCCAGATGTGTGCAGCAGTCGTGGTCAATGTGGTTCTGCCCTCTTGAGAGCTGCACTGCTGCTGCTGCTGCTGCTGACCTGGATGTGGAGGCAATGAAGCTGCGACACCAGAGATGCCATTTCAGTTGGAGGATCTGGAAAATCACATGTGCCACTTAAAACCTTGGGGCACATGCAGTAACAGTTTTGGAGAAAGGGCAAAACATGATTAAATTCTTGACCCAATAGTTCTCCAATCTCTTACCCAATCTCAAACTTATGACACAAGATTTTGAAAGAACTCAGGGCAATCTATCTCCTAAACTACAGGATGCATCTAAGTCAGGCTTCTTCAACCACGGCCCTCCAGATGTTTTTGGCCTACAACCCCCCATGATCCCTAGCTAGCAGGACCAGTAGTCAGGGATGACAGAATTGTAGTCTCAAAACCTCTGGAGGGCCGCAGTTGAGGAAGCCTGATCTAAATCCTAGGATAGGGGTAGGCAACCTAAGGCCCGTGGGCCGGATGCGGCCCAATAACCTTCTTAATCCGGCCCGCGAATGGTCCGGGAACCAGTGTGTTTTTACATGAGTAGAATGTGTCCATTTATTTAAAATGCATCTCTGGGTTATTTGTGGGGAATAGGAATTCGTTCATTTCCCCACCCAAAATACAGTCCGGCCCCCCACAAGGGACAGTGGACTGGCCCACAGCTGAAAAAGGTTGCTGACCCCTGTCCTAGGACATCATCATGTATTTAGTATGATTTCTTGTCAGTGAAACCCTCAATTCAATCATTGAGGATGGCAAGCCCAGTGCAGAAAAGCTTTCTGTGGTGAATGGCCCGTACAAATGGCCACTTGACCTTAGTCATGTCCATCATTTAAATGGGTCTACTAAGAGTAAAACTTGGTTGAATGCTATTCAATATTTAATTACACCAGGGGTGGCATAACTTTTCTATATTCCCTCTCATTCATTATCTCTCCCTCCCCCATGCAACAATTGGGATTAGAGCAAAAAGGGGGGAAAGGGAGAAATCTGTTTGTGGGGAAATGAGAAGGAAAGGCACTTTGGGCTTCATACATGGTGGCTCCCCCTCCCCAATCAGAATGTTAAATTCTTACAACCAAGCTTGCATCTCTTTGTCATACTGTATGTTTGGCAAGTTTTCATTTTCTCCCATTCCCATATTGCTTCTTTCTTATAGAGTCCATTATAGTGGACAAGCAACCATGCTGGTTTGTTAGGTGAACACCACTGAGCGATTCCAGGCATGTGGGTATAGGATTGCAGCTTAATACCTGCTTACTGGACAATTGTCTTCTGTTTTTCTTTCAAGTGTCCCTCCTTTCTGCTTTCTTCCAGCCACAAAATCTAAGAATCACACAAAATAAAGTGCCTATGACTGACAGGTTAAAGCAAGGCAAGAAAATTGCTAGATGAACTAGAGCATTTTATTTTCAAGATAAATATGAAATACCTACATTTGGAAAGTACAAGTTAAATATTCATATTTAAGAAATGATCAAATTGGTTTTAACATGCTTATGTCAAGATTACTTAATTATCTAGCTATAGATAGAGGAGCCCTCCCACGGCTTGCGCAGAGCTGCCTCTTATCCCGAAGCCCCGGCGCGCTGAGCAGTCGCACCTGGGCTTCAGGTAGCTCTGCGCAAGCCGCGGGACAGCTCCCACGGCTTGCAGAGAGCAGCCTGTTCTGGGGGCTGGGGTCGGGGGAAGCTCAGGCTTCCCCCGCCCCAGCCCCGTGCCTGGGGGGGAAATAAAAAAATTTCTTTATTTCCCCCCAAAAAACTAGGTGCGCCCTATAGGCAGGTGCGCCCTATGGGGCAAAAAATACGGTACATCTTTTCTTCTAACTCCAGTTCACCCTCACTGCACTCTTATTTAGTGGCCACTCTCACACTCCACAAGCATCAATGTGGAAGCTGCTTCCCAAAGTATGAACCACCCTGAGACCTGCAGGCACAGGGCGGCATACAAATTTAATCAATAATAAACAATAATAATGTCTGTGAACGAAGCATCTTTGTGGGCAGAGCCAGTCACGAGGAACCTTCCCACTCATCCTTTCCTCCCCTGGGCAGCTGGGAATGATACATGCAATTATCCTTGCCCATATGGTTACTTAATTCATACCTACAGTGATGGGACTGCAGCACTTTGGCGAAGCTGATTCCACTTCAGAGATAGAGTCTTGGTCCTGATCCCGGTCTTGGCTGGGGAGGACAGGGTATAAATAAAAAAATTATTATTATTATTATTATTAAGAAGGCACTATGCATTACAAGGGATGCGGGTGGCGCTGTGGGTAAAACCGCAGTGCCTAGGACTTGCCAATCGTATGGTCGGCGGTTCAAATCCCTGCGGCGGGGTGAGCTCCTGTCGTTCGGTGCCAGCTCCTGCCCACCTAGCAGTTCGAAAGCACCCTTAAGTGCAAGTAGATAAATAGGTATCACTTAATAGCAGGAAGGTAAACGGCGTTTCCGTGTGCTGCACTGGTGCTGGCTCGCCAGAGCAGCTTCGCCACGCTGGCCACGTGACCCGGAAGTGTCTTCGGACAGCGCTGGCTCCTGGCCTATAGAGTGAGATGAGCGCACAACCCTAAAGTCGGACACGACTGGCCCGTCGGGCAGGGGTACCTTTACCGTTACTTTTTATGCATTACAAATGCTATTGTGGTAGCACACTAAGGGGTTGTGTCAGATGAGTGTTCAGACCCCTGGGCTCTCATTTGCGGGGTGCCTCAGGGTTCCATCCTCCTCCTGCACTTTTAACATCTATATGAAGCCGCTGGGAGAGATCACCATATAACACCGATCCTTTGGCTCCCAGTACGTTTCCAAGCACAATTCAAAGTCTTGGTGCTGACCTTTAAAGCCCTAAATGGCCTCGGCCCAGTATACTTGAAGGAGCGTCTCCACCCCCATCGTTCAGCCCGGACACTGAGGTGCCTTCTGGCGGTTCCCTCACTGCGAGAAGTGAGGTTACAGTGAACCAGGCAGAGGGCCTTCCCACTAGTGATGCCCGCCCTGTGGAACGCCCTCCCATCAGATGTCAAGGAATAAACTATCTGAAGGCAGCCCTGTTTAGGGAAGTTCTTAATGTCTAATGTTTTATCATGTTCTAATATTCTGTTGGGAGCCGCCTAGAGTGCCTGGGGTAATAATAATAATAATAATAATAATAATAATAATAATAATATCTGAATATGAGACAACTACTTTTTGCACTGAGTGTGAGAGTGCTACTAAGGTAATATGGCAGGTTGTATCCATTTCACTTGAAGTGTCATGGTAAAACCTGCTAGAGATAAAATACTGTGGCGCTGGAAGTTTTGCACTAAAATTACATGCTTTTCTGTGGCCCTGCAGAGAGAGGCTTGGCAGGAATAGGGAGAAACTCAGGGCCAAACTAAATGTGGCATTAATTGTATTGATGTAATTTGGGGATTCTTAACCATGAATGGGATTCAGTGGGTCTGTGAAGAAAATCAATTTCTAATGCAATAAAACAAATTATATGCAAAATTTTGTATGTGTTTATGTCCATTTTTCTGGAGAGGGGGTCCACGGCTTTATTTCCCCCAAAATAAGAACCACTAAGGTAATTAATGTGCATTTTTTATGTAAACAACGGCCACAAGGAAGCCTGAGCAGTCTTGGGACCAAAGGTGAGGTAGGGGAATTTGATATTTTCTCCCTGCCATGGACCTGGGTAAAAAACATCTCTTGACAACAATTGAGGTTTCCTATAAAGTGATGCAGTTTCTGAGTTGTCCATCCTCCTTCCTCTTCTTTCTCTTTTTTAATATCATTTTTATTATCCAACAATATTTCAAAGCATTTATCATCATATACATTTTTTTTAACATACAAAGTTTATTCTTGACTTCCCACCCCCTCCCTTCCTGATGTTTGCTTTTTAGTCCTTCTTATTAGCTGTTTCGTAAGAAGTCCTTTCTCTTTTCTCCATTCCAATCTCACATCTATTAGATTGTGGACCTGTGGGCAGGGACTAACTCTGCTTAGAATATAAGTACAGCACTTTGTATGTTTACTGCTTTGCGTTTTTTAGAAGCCTCCCCTGCGGCCCTTTTGAAGCATGAGACACTAATGTAATAAATAATACTAACAAGTGATGTTAGTATTATTTAGTACATCAATTACTTCTTATTACTGCTACTACTAATAACAGTATTATAAGGTAAAGGTAAAGGGACCCCTGACCATTAGGTCCAGTCGTGACCGACTCTGGGGTTGCGGCGCTCATCTTGCTTTATTGGCCGAGGGAGCTTCCAGGTCATGTGGCCAGCATGACTAAGCCGCTTCTGGCGAACCAGAGCAGCGCACGGAAACACTGTTTACCTTCCCGCCTGAGCGGTACCTATTTATCTACTTGCACTTTGACGTGCCTTCGAACTGCTAGGTTGGCAGGAAGCAGTATTATAGCCCCATTCAAATATGTTGCAGGTAGAGACCCACATTTTCCAACTCACCCTCTCAGAAATGCAAAGATAGTTTGTGTATTAACTTTCACATTACACACAGAACTGTAGAAGTCAAACGGACTAGCAATTGCTGAAGCCAGCTTGCTGACAATGCAAATCTTTTCAATCTTCTATGGAATTTCTATGGAAATGTGAATAATAATAATAATAATAATAATAATAATTTATTATTTGTACCCCGCCCATCTGGCTGGGTTTCCCCAGCCACTCTGGGCGGCTTCCAACAAAGATGAAAGATACACTAAAATGTCACATATTAAAAACTTCCCTGAACAGGGAATAATGTGACATGACTGACAAGTCTCATCACTGTCTTTAAGTCCAGGGTTGAAAAATATGCCAGGTATGGTTTCTGGCCTTACTACGCCAAAACACTACTCTGTCTGTCACCCAGCACCCTTGACCTATCATATGAAAATAGTTAAGCATGTAGTTAACTACATGAACTTTAAATAAAACCACCAAAACCATTATTTCTGAGTGTAACAAAATTATATCCATAACTCAAGATAAACTGCACAGCCTTAAAAACCTGAGCTCACCCTAAGTACTCTCATTGATCAATAAATACCCTATTTTATAGTGTCTCCTCTCCCACAAATATTATGCCCCATCCTTTTATTTCAAATAATTATACCCTGCCATTCCTCAATGAACCTAAGACAGTTAACATCAATAAGTTAAAATAATAATGAATTTATGAACTTACTCTGACTTCTGAGCCATCCCTAAGCCAGTGCTACTAGCCTTCTGTGTAGGGAGTGAACATGCTCCTCACACAAGCAGTCCAGCGCTGCACAGAAAGATTTACAGATAAGAAAGGTATTCCGATTTTGAGCAGGAATGCTCCCCGTTGCCAAGCAACAGTTCATTCACTCATTTGCTCCCGTGCTGAGGACCATTTAGTGACTCCACTAATGGGTCTCCTACCTCACATTCCAACCTCTTTAACATGTCCTTCACTTACAAGGCCATGCTGTGGGAGAAATGTGAATGGAGGCATAAGAATCACTCCCAGGACAGGAGCAGGAACCACTTTTGGCAAAAGGGGCTACAGAAAGATCACTCCTAGCACTCAAGCCTCCCCACAGGTATCTCATGCCTTTCATGGCAAGATTTAAGTAGGAGGTGGATTGTGTGCACTCACAAACCACAGCAAGTATTAGCAGACATAGGAGGAGGAGCAGCCGGGTGGTCCCGTTTTTCAGGAGGAGGGAAAAGGACACAATTTGTCGTTTCTTACTCTCCCCAAACCTCTACTTCCCCACTCAATGTTTATTCGTTTTATTATTTATTCATTATTTTAGGCCACCTTTGCATCCCAAAATGTCTAAGCAGCAAAGAGCTTAGAGTCAGGCCCAACTTTCCTATAAGAAAAGGGAGCAAGGTTTAATGTCTCAAACCAACACTGCTAAAGGAAAGTCCAAGGCAACCAGACCCAAACCTGAGCACTTTAGAATTCATGCAACATTTGGCAGGAGGGGAGGAGTAGATTTTGTTATGGGGTATTAATCCTTGCACTCTAAGGCACAAAAATCATTTGGGTTTCAGATTAGAAATCAGCCCATAAGCCTTCAAAAATTGCATGGATTGCAGGATATGCTAAACTAGCAAGTCCCAAACTGGAGAGCTACATTGCTATCTATAGCATTGCCATTAACACTACAGTGTAGTGTTTCCCAAAGTGAGTGATTCTGTCCTCTAGGGGGTGCTGGAATAATCCAGGGACGGTAGCAGCCTTGGTTGCAATTTGGGGGCATTGAATAAAAATAAGGGGGCGGTGGAAGCCTAAAGAAGAGAAGAGAATTAAAAAAACCTGTTTGTACATGCTTCATCTGTTCTGTAATGATGCCTACTGCCAGGTCAGGCACCGTTGTAGGACGGCGACAATGCCTCCTGTGGATCCAGCGGTCATGCTGGAGGCGAGGAGTTTTCCCACAAACCCTTTTTGGCTTCCCCCAGGCCCACGAAGTGGATTGCAGCTTGTCTACCTATTTAGCCAATGGTAGGCAGGCTGCAGCACCAGACCTGGTCCTGGGGCAGATTGGACTGAGCAGGCAGGCTTCACTCCAGTCCGCCCCATGGGTTTTAGATACATAAAAGAACGCACATTTGTCACTGCATCTTTCTGTTTGTTCGCTTAAAGAAGGTAGATTTCCGGGGGGCGGGGGCGGGCGATGAGTAACCCCCCCCCCCGAGAATAGGGCAGTAGGGCAAATAAGTTTGAGAAGTCTGCTAGAGTGCTTAGTTAAGAGCTGGTGGAGTAATAAGCCCTGAATAGGAGCTATGTAGAGCTACAACCTGCTTGCTGTTTCATCCTAACATACATTAAACTCAGTATCAATGAACATTGATTTCCCCCCCTTTTAAATGTCTAGTAGCTAAAAAAAATTCCTCCTAGCTCTCAAGTAAATCATTTTCTCTTCAAATTATTCATCTGAAGAGGTATTTAATTCATTTTCAAAAACAGGCACACTATAAATTGCTGGAGAGTCGCTTAAAAAAGCCATATTCCAAAATTAGTTACTTTCCCTGATGAGAGCAAATTGCTCTTCAGATTACATGCTGATCACTTCTTTGTTTTTAAAGAGAGGATTTTTTTTATTTATTTTAACCTTTTGCTTATTTTATTGTGCTTCATTATCAGTAGAGTTCATTTGTTTCAGAGGGATAATTAATATGAGATTCAAAGCATCAGCTAAAGGCAATAACCTGCTATTTTGCTTTACAATGCATCAAACTACTATTCTGAAACATGAAATATACACATTTGACTACTGATTTATATGACACACCATGTGAGCTTAATTTTCTTCACTTTCTTGATCTCTCTGTCCAAATAAAGATGTACCAACTTCCCACCCATTCTGAACACACTCCTACCTCCTTCCCTGAGAAACTGCAGTGCAAAAGCCCCAATGTTTGTGTAACCCACTGATAGTCTGAGCTTGCACAGATAAACCATTCAAATTCATACTCCTAGGAGATGGCTACATCCATTTAAAGCACAAGGCTTTCCCCCAAAGAATCCTGGGAACTGTCATTTATTACTGGTGCTGGGAATTATAGCTCTGTGGTGGATAAACTACAGTTCTCAGGATTCTATAGATGTGCTTTAAATGTATGCTGTGGGTGTAACTCTTGTGTCTGGAAAGAATATAATATAAATTGGTTGTAAATGAACATCAAATAAAGTTTGCCACCAAAATTTCCCCTCCAAAGATGCATTTCTTATTGCACTCTTTTTCTCTGCTATATTTTACTCTGTGGGATACAATGCAATATATTCTTCTTATTAAGAGTAAAGGTAAAGGGACCCCTGACCATTAGGTCCAGTCGTGGCCGATTCTGGGGTTGCGGTGCTCATCTCGCTTTACTGGCCGAGGGAGCTTCTGGGTCATGTGGCCAGCATGACTAAGCTGCTTCTGGCGAACCAGAGCAGCGCACGGAAATGCCATTTACATTCCCGCCAGAGCGGTACCTATTTATCTACTTGTACTTTGACGTTCTTTCGGAATGCTAGGTTGGCAGAAGCAGGGACTGAGCAACGGAAGCTCACCCCGTCGCGGGGATTTGAAGACCACAGCGCCACCCACATCCCCTTATTAAGAGTGTCATATGCACACATGTGAACATGTTCATTCTGTAAGAAATGACATAACTTTGAGAGATATAAACAAAAAACAGTATACATCATTTTTGTTTAGTTTTTGTGGATTCCCAAACTGTTGCAAGTTATGTTAAATCATTAAGATGAGATTGGATGATACAGAAATAAATAATCAATCTAATGCACTGAGCATATTAGAATCCCAGAAAGAAAAGCAGGGGATAAAAACTAAAATAAAACAGTTAACACAGAGACACCACCACTGGTTTACAGTCACATGGTTTGGGACAATGCTTGTCACAAGGGGCAAATGTTCATTTCCTTCTCTGTGATCTATTTCTTCAATATATTTTATTTAAGAATAAACAGCAGCTGTCTTAACCTGCTAAAATTAGTGCACTTGTTTAGGCTGTCTGCTCTTCATCCCAAAATAGCTAGAGAGATTATTAAAGCTATTGTTAAGCGGTCCATTTGACTTACTTTCAGTAGACTTTAAGTAACAGTTTTGGGCGGCATGTGTTAGATGGACCTTATACCACTTCTTTTCAATGAAGACAACAGTTCATTTTTATCACAGTAGAGTGTGTGAATAAGTTGTGTCCCCTGAGAAATCTGTAAGGAAACAGAGTGCCTGTTAGTATGAAATTCATCACGCTACCATATTCAGCTTAATGAATGCACTGTATTAATGACAAGCAGCATCTGGGATTCAGCTGCATATACGAATAATCAATCCTCTGCCATGTCTTTGCTTCTCTGACTGTCCAGTGCAGTAAGTAAGAGATGCATGATTCTTGCTTTGCAGCTGCAGCATACAAACAATAAATGAACAGTAAATAGATAGACAAGAAAGCATAAAAAACCAAGAGGTGAATGACTCCAATGCTTGCTGTGGGATCTTTCATCAAGGGCAGGTGATTTCATGTGCATTCATGAGGGATTTGCCAGGAACCAAATGGCTAGGAAACATTTTCCTAGCTGTTCCAGTATTTCTGCTTCAAGACTGTAGTCCAGCTGGCTACTAAAATCTATTAGTAGGTGACAGGTATAATTTCAGTAGTGTACATTTATGGACTGCGTGGAGTTGTATGAACTGGGCTCAGGAAGAGACCTGTAATTATTTTCCTGTATCATCTCCATGACCAGAAATAAGGGAGCTAACAAATCCGCTTGTGTTGTGTGATGACAGTGCAGCAGGTGCTAAAAGTAAGGATAAGATAATGTCAGGGCAAAAAAGAAGAGGGCTTTGAATGCTCTCTGTATTCAGACCACACTCAATAGCTAGATAACTAAAAGCATTTATTCCCTATTAAATACAGCAGAAAAATATACACACAACAACATGTGCATCAAAATAATGTCTGAAAATCCTTCACTGGTATTGCTCCCACGTGACAGCTTTCTCTGTCCAATGGTAATTTGATTATTATGTTCACTTTGCAAAGCTAATTAAAAACAGCAATAGGATTAGACCTTCAATTTTAAAACACTCAGTACTTGATTTCTCTAACAAAGAGTGGAGGAGAGAAAATGAATACGAAAGCCCTAAGAGGTAGGCTCCTACCTGAGCATGGGCAGTGATAGAGAAGGATTCTGGTCACACATGAAGGTCTTTTTCTTTTCTATTACTTCGCAAATTCTAGACCTGATCTTGGTATGAAAAATATATATTGTGGATAAATGTTGCACAAATTTGAATCCAGTGTAATTTCAAAGTATTTTTTAGAGCAAGTATGGATACAACAGCTAAGAATGTACAAATACTAGATTCCAGAAAAGTTTCTATCAAACCTGTGGCAATTTGAGACTAAAACTCAAGTTGATTAATTGCATTGATTTAATCCACTAGAGGCGGTATAGGGTAATGGCTAAAAGTGAGTCGGGAAGCTCCGGATTCAAATGTCACATCAGCCACAAATTTAAGTAATGCTCATCGCAATCTAAACACTTCCCTTCTTATTTATTGACAGCCTTAACCTATTGTAGTCATCAATTAAAGATATGCCAATGAAGTCACATTACTCATTGACCACATTGAAAACAACTTTGTCAAGGAAGACCAATCTGAGTATCTATATTAAATATTGCATCCTTGCTTTAAACACCACAATTGTCAGGAAGTAGCTCACAATTTTAAATTGCTTTCCAGTAAACAGATGTATCCCAACTAAAATAATCTTATTATGAAACTTAGTTCACAAACTAGCTGAAGAAAAAGAGCTTTGTCTTTCACGGACTATCTGTCATGATAAAAAATGAGACAATAGCATGGATGGGGGCACTGCAGTCACATTTTACCCTAGTGAAAAACACTGATGCAATTTCTGCCAATGCTTGTTTACACATAGGCCTAAAGTTCAACAGAACTACACGAACAACATGCAAGTACAGATAGCTCTGCCTGAACGTAGGTTAATAGACATCCAGATCTGAGGGAAAGCTCAAGGACTGCCTCTCCCCATATGAACTGACCTAGATCCTGCAACCATCATCTGAGCCTCTTCTTCATGCGTCTCCACAAGAGGTCCAGAGGGTGCCAAGATGAGACAGGGCCTTTTCTGTGGTGGCCCCCCATTTGTGGAATGCTCCCCCCCCCAAGGAGGCTTGCCTGGCCCCTCATTACATATCTGTAGGCGCCAGGTGAAAATGTTTCTCTATAACCAGGTGTTTAGCTGATTAAACATTCTATGGTCTTTTAAATGTGTTTATGGTAGAGAGGGCTACTGGATTGGTTGGTTGGTTTGGTATTTTGTGCTCTCATTTTGTATTTTTATGCTGTGAACCAATTAAGGTCAGTATAAAAAATTAATAAATAATAATAGTAATAAATAACTGTCATATCCTAATGCCCGACTCTGTATATGCCGCAGTTCTACAGGAGAAAGCAGGGAGAAGGCAAAATGTGTTATTAGGTCAAGGAGAATTAAAGATCTGCATGTGGCACAGTCTGAGGAGGCAAGATGTTAAGCAGAAGGTCTTGCAGCAAGGATGGACCAGGCAGCCTTCAGCTTTCAGCTCCCTGGTGACATGGCCTTCCTTCTGTGACCTCATTCATTCATTCATTACCAAGCAGCTGACCAATAGATAGTGTAAAATGGGAATGTCTGATAGCCAGAAATAGAACAAAATTGCTATTGATTTGAAAAATAAGCCTTGGGGGAGAGAATACATGTTCACATGCATGTACACACACACACACACACACACACACACACACACACAAGCAATTGCGACAGGAGAGCTTTGGCTAAAGAAAAAAACAAATCATTTACACGTTACAGGTTATGTCAAATGTTGGAGTGCAGGGAGAAGTGTCTCTAAATTGGAAGGAAAACAAATGTGATTCTAAAGCACACACACATTCCTCAGGAGACCTAAAGGAACATGCCAGGAGATATAGAGAGTATTTTAGTCCTTATTCAGTAGTGCCAACGGAAGCCTAATCTGCAGTTTTAAAAAAGCCTCCCCCCCCAAAAAAAATGTCCATACACAACGTATAGGAGTACAAATAGGAGTATTCCTACTATTCTCATCTAGGCTTTCTTTGTGCGATTAAGTATTTTTTAAAATAATAATAGGCCAGGTAAGAATTGCTGACAGGGTAGATGAAATATTATAAATAGATTTGGGAACACATTTTAGTCAGTCTTAAAAATGGCAAGGATCTGATGATATCAGATATCATCAGTAACATGATATGTTGAAATTAGATAGGGGAAAAAAATTTTCAGACCAAAGTTCACAATTCAAAAAAGAACTCTTGCTAAACAAAGATAAAAAATTGTCTAAAATGTATAACCTGTTATTAGAATGGGAAACAAAACATGAGCTAGTTAAAGCCTCAATGACACACTGGGCAATAGATATAGGACACAAAATAGATTTTAACCTCTGGGAGAAACTTTGGAAAAGCGACTTGAAATTTACAGCATGTTGAGAGCCAGTGTGGTGTAGTGGTTAAGAGCGGTAGACTCGTAATCTGGGGAACCGGGTTCACGTCTCCGCTCCTCCACCTGCAGCTGCTGGGTGACCTTGGGCCAGTCACACTTCTCTGAAGTCTCTCAGCCCCACTCACCTCACAGAGTGTTTGTTGTGGGGGAGGAAGGGAAAGGAGAATGTGAGCCGCTTTGAGACTCCTTCGGGTAGTGATAAAGTGGGATATCAAATTCAAACTCCTCCTCCTCCTCCTCCTCCTCCTTCTTCTTCTTCTTCTTTATCTCCTTGATCCTTGGCTATCCTGGCTCATAACAGTGATCCAGGCAGGGCTGGACAATGGGTTTTGTGGGGTGGTGAATACTTCCCTCAGTGAGGGAGTCTTCCTGGATCCCCTTAAAGAAGCAATTATTAAACTGCTTCTTAAAAAATATCTTTGGACCCAGCCATTATGGTCAATTATCATCCAGTCTCAAATCTCCCATTCTTGGGCAAGGTGATTGATCAGCACACCTGAAGGATGTGGACCATTTGGATCCCTTCCAGTTGGGATTCTGGCCCCATCATGTGGCTGAAACTGCCTTGATCTCTGGCGGACTAGGGACAGAGGTGGAAGCTGTTTCCCAGATCTGTTGGATCTTTCGGAGGCTTTTGACACCATCGACTGTGGTATCCTTATGGACCATCTAGGGGGGTGGGAGCTGGGGGCACTGTTATGCAGTAGTTCCACTCCTTTTTTCTGGGCTGTGACAAGAAAATGGAGTTGGGGGTGAGTGTTCGGACCCCTGGGTGCTCACTTGTGGGGTGTCTCAGGGCTCTGTCCTCTCCCCCATGTTTTTTAACATCTATATGTTTTTTAACATCTATATGAAGCTGTTGGGAGAAATAATAAGGGGGTTGGGCTGGGTGTTCACCAGTTTGCGGATGATACCCAGCTCTACCTCTCCTTTAAATTGGAACAAGTGAAGGTGGTGAATGTCCTGTGTGAGTGTCTGGAGACTGTTGGAGGATGGATTAATGAATGAAGACAAGACATAAGTACTGTTTCTGGGAGACAGGGGATGGGCAGGTGTGGAGGACTCCCTGGTCCTGAATGGGGTAACTGTGTCCCTGAAGGACCAGGTGCACAGACTGGGAGTCATTTTGGACTCACAGCTGTCCATTAAGGTGCATGTTAATTCTGTGTCCAGGGCGGCTGTCTACCAGCTTCATTTCGTATGCTGGCTGAGACCCTACCTGCCCGCAGACTGTCTCACCAGAGTGGTAAATGCCCTGGTTCTCTCCCGCTTGGACTACTGCAATGTGCTCTACATGGGGCTACCTTTGAAGGTGACTCAGAAACTACAACTAATCCAGAATGTGGCAGTTAGACTGGTGACTGGGAGTGGCAGCAGGATCATATAACACTGGTCCTGAAAGACCTATATTGGCTCCCAATACATTTCCAAGCACAATTCAAAGTGTTGGTGCTGACCTTTAAAGCCCCAAACAGCCTTGGCGCTATATATCTGAAGGAGCATCTCCACCCCATCATTCAGAGCGGACACTCTGGCAGTTCCCTCACTGCAGGAAGTGAGGTTACAGGAAACCAGGAAGAGTGTCTTCTTGGTAGTAGCGCCCAGCCTGTGGAACGCCCTCCCATTGGATGTCAAGGAGATAAGTAACTATGCAACCTTTAG